TTTTCTTATTATCTTATTTAGTGCTCTCATTGGTATATATTTGTTATAAAGACATAGAAGTTCTTTTGTTAAATAAATGTATTTATCTTCCACTGTGAATTTCGTTGATATACCTAGATCTAAATTATTTCGAAATATGACTTGATTTAGATTAATAAAATTGGATTTACTAAAATCTCTTACGTAACTCTTGGGCTTCCTAATTACTTTAACACGATAATTAAGCTCAAACTCTATCATTTTGTGATCGGAAGTTGAAAAATTCTCCCTAACTTTAATAGTTCTAACAATACCGGAATCAGATGTAAGTACTAGGTCCAGGATTGAATTTTCCCTAGTTGGTTCAGTAACAAGTTGTTTTAATTGATTCTGACCTATAAACTCTATGAAAATATTCGCGATCTTGTCATAATTGTCAATTATTTCGTTAGAATACCAGTTTATGTGTCTAATGTTAAAATCTCCACATAATATAGTTTTTTGGTTGATTTGATTTAAAAGGAATTTAAATAACTTTTTTGTATTAAGAATTGAACTATTTGGTGGTCGGTAAATGTTTATAATGTTAATTTCTTTTTCAAGCAATAATTTTATATGTACAATCTCTGATTGGAATTTAGAGCCAGAGAAAATTATTTTAAAAGGTATGTTATTTTTTACTAGGATTGCCGATCCTCCGCCTCTTTTTTCTATTCTATTAGCTAATATGACTTCATAATTACCCATATGTGATAGTTCAGAATTTATTATATTATCTGTTTTGAGCCACGTTTCGTTGATTAATATCAGCTCTGGGTTAGAATTTTCAATCAAATAATTTAAATCTGGTATTTTATTGGCAAGCGACCGAGAATTGAATAATATACATTTATATGAGTAAATATTTCCGTTTGTTATTTTTGTTTGTGGTTTGCCTGCGTACCCCTATTTATTTTTAGTTGCCCTGAGCGGTTGTGGTTTTTTAAGTGTAATGATTGACAGATCGACAACAATGTACTTAAACATGTTCTCGACCTGATTCATGGAAAATGCTTGCTTACGCAAGTTATACAAAATATTTAATTCGTTTCGAGTCATATCACGTCTAGCAGTTAAAAACTGCGGTAAAGATGGATTTTGCTTAAGACATTTACGAAAATTATAAAGAAAAATATCCCTAGATTTTTTATTGTTAAATGGGATTTTGACAATTCTTGGTTTCTTATTTACAACATTTGATAACTCACGAGATGGATGTCGATGTATGTCATTTTCCAAAAGATCAGAAGATACTCCGCAATCTGAAGCAATTTTTTTAACTAAAGAAGTGATGTCAACATTTTCAGGAGCCCGTTCAATAACAACTCTTTTTGATTTAGACTTGATTTCTTCGGCGTCCAAAATAGCGTTGTTTATGATATTGGTCAAATGAGATTGTTCTAAAGAATTATGTTGTTTGTTGCTAGCGGAAAAAGGGTCTCCAAATCGATATTTAGTTTCTGTTGTTTGTTGTTCTGGTTCATTTGTAAGAATATCCTTACAAAGTTCCATTACAGAATTTACAATTTCAAGCATTGCTGAGGCCCAAGGTGGCATGTCGTTAGAAAATTGTTCGGAAAAATTAGAAAGTTTTTTGTTTAATTGATGTAGTTTTAATTTTTTGTTGTTAATATTCGAAGTAGTGAGTGGTGTTGACATTGATGTTAAATTATCGATTTCCATAAGTTTTTTAACTTTTTTCTTATATTTTAGACAGTTAAACACGGTGAACACGCTATATTTGAAGCAATTCGGGGTTTCGGGTAGTCGATTTTTTCCTGATCTAGAGTCGACTAGCTATATAGATGTTCCGGAACCTGGGGTGGGTCTCGGGTTACCCGATTTTTTTTCGACTCGAAACTTGCTCGATATTTTTTATCTTAACCCGTCCCTCTGCAACCGTCTAACCAACACAGCAATTTTCAGAACCCAATTCCAAAGGTTGAACGCCAACTGGTAAATTTTATTTCTAGTTTGAGGGACTCATAAACTAAACTAGAACCCCTCAAAAATTTTTAATTTTCCCAATTTTTAGGAGAAAGGCTTGCGGCCATTAAAAATTCATCCAATTAAATTGCTCGGAAATGAACAATTAAATGACAAAATTTTACACGAAATTAAATTAAGTTCAAGTGCAAAAAGAAGAGAAATGTTGGGAAGTATTTTGAGGGAACCTAAAAATTCTCCAGACGAAATCATTTCGAATAAACACTATTTAATTGGTTTGACTGGAGGTATAGCTTCGGGAAAAACACATATTGCTAAATATTTGGCTTCTCAAGGATGCGAGGTTTTTTTTGATAATTTATTATCCGCAAAAAATTTTTTATCCGCAAAAAAATTTTATCCGCAAAAATTTTTTTTGTCCGCAAAAAATTTGCGGACAAAATTTGCAGATTTCGCATTTCATTTTCTTGAGGGCTTCGATATTGGAAAAAATTTTTTTAAATTTTTGCCTAGTAAAAAATCCTTACCGAATCATTTTTAATGTGTTCTGTCCGCAAAAAATTTGCGGACAAAATTTTAAAAAATTTTTCGGCTAATCGTTTTTTCGGATAGGGAAAAGTAAACATTTTTCGGATAATTAAAAATAATTTTTAGATTTTTCCCACGTAAGAACATCCATTTTTTCAAACGTTTTGTTAAAAATTTGCGGATTTTTTGGAAAATTTTTTTGGCTTAATTTGAGGTGTTAAAAAGGGACTTAAAAGCGAAATTTGTTAAATTAAAGGGGGTGGGCATTTTTTAAGTTTCCACTTTGCGGACAGAATTTGCGGATTTTATGCATTTTTTTTTCTGTCCGCAAAAATGTGAAAATTTAAAGGATCTTTTCTAAGTTTAAAAATTTTCTTTTCAAACCTTTCCTTGACTAAAATAAAAATTTTTTGTTTCTTTAGGTAATTGAATGTGACCAATTAGTTCATAAAATATATTCTGAAAGTGAAGAATTACGAAATAAACTTGCAGAAGAATTTGGACTTGATATTTTGGTTAATGGAAATATTGACAGAAAAAAGCTTGGAGAATTGGTTTTTGAAGATAAGGTTTTTTTTGAAAAAAATTTTTTGAAAATTTTTGCGGACAAATTTTTTTTGCGGATTTTTTTCTGATTTCGTTTTTAAGACTTGGTTAATCGATAAATTTTTTTATAAATTTTGTCATAAAAACTTAATTTTTCAAAACGATTTTAAAATTATTTTGTCCGCAAAATTTTTGACCGCAAAAATAATTTTTGTCCGCAAAAAAATTTGCGGACTATCCGCAAAAAAATTTTTGTCCGCAAAAATTAAAAAATTATTTTTCTTAAAGCAAAAATTACAACGTTTAAACAACATTGTTTGGCCAATAACTTTTGAACGTGTTAAAGAAATTATTAAAAAATCTGAGAGGGAAATTGTTGTAATTGATGCAGCTTTGCTTTTGGAGGCTGGATGGGGAAAATATTTAAATCAAGTTTGGTGTACTTTTGTGCCAAAGAATGAAGCTATTGAACGAATTGTAGCGAGGGATAATGTGTCGAAGGAAAATGTAGGTTTTTTTAGAAAGTGTGTGGAATCTCTCTATAGTGACGCTCACTCAAAAATTTATTTTGTCCGCAAAAAAATTTGCGGACGCTTCCGAAAAAATTTTTTGTCCGCAAAATATTTGCGGACAAACCGCAAAAAATTTTTTTGTCCGCAAAATATTTGCGGACAAACCGCAAAAAATTTTTTGTCCGCAAAAAAATTGCGGACAATCCGCAAAATTCATTTTTTTGCATTGGGAAACCTCTACATAACGACGATTTTTCCGTTATACATTGGTCACTCACTCCCTTTCTAATGTCAACAAAACGGTATAGAGAGCTTCCATTAAAGTTTCTATGACGCTCCCTTCTAATTTAAAACGTCCAACAACCAAAATGCCCAAAACTCAAAATGTTCAAAAAACAAAAATAAGCACTTTCTCACCCGAATTCAGTTTTGGAGGGAGGCGGTGTTTTTTACGTCACTTTTTCTCACGTTATTAAATTTGAGCTCGAGGGGCGTCGTAAAATAATCCTCTCCTTTTTTAAAGGCAATGGAAAGATTGGCAAGTCAATTATCAAATTCAGAAAGAATACTACAAAGTAATGTAGTTTTTTGTTCTTTATGGGAATATTCTGAAACTGAGAGACAAGTTTCTAAAGCTTTGGAGCTTATTAGAAATGATTATTTGCCTAAATAAATAATTTTTTTAATAAAATTTAATTTAAATTTTCCTTTGATTTTTAAAAAAAATTCGTTGCTTAAATAACGAAAAATTTATTTTTTTTCTTTTATTTTTATTAATTAACAGTGGAATCTCGATATAACGACACTTAATTGTAGTTCAACTTCTTTCCTACTTTAATGAGGTCGGGAGGGTGGCCTAACGTCAGTAAAAACTTTGGCCCAAAGAGGTCTAATCTTCCAACATCACTCTTAATTCGGTCTTAAGGGGTATGCATTTATGACCTCATTTAACGTCGATCTTAAGTCACATTCGTCCCAAGAGGGTTGTCGTTATAACGAGAACTTCCATTATTTGCTGGATTATTTTCTGTCCTTTTTAAATTTTTGGGGGTGTTGTCCTTTTTTTAATTCATTTGGGGGGTGCGCAAAAATTTTTTTTCTTAAAACGCCAAAATAATTTTTTATAATTCAGCGTACCTCAAATTTTAAAAAATTTTTAGAGAGAAAAAAATTTTTTTAATCAAAAAGAAAAAAATGCAACGCCAAATGGATTTTACTAATGAAAAAAGAAAATCAACATTATTTAATAATTCTCCAACAACAAAAAGAGAAGCTTTTAATAACAGAAATAATAAATTTGTAACTGCCCAAAGAAGATATGACAATGTTAGAGTGAGGGATTCTGAAATGAAGAGTAGACTTTGCTGTGAATGTGGACAACAAATATTTGGGGAGAAAAAATATCAGGTAGTAAAAAAGAATTTTTGGGTGAAGGGTAAACTAAGAGGGGGATAAATGGCCGTTTGCGTGAGTTGTCTGTGGTCCGTCCAAAAGGGTTAAATTTTTCCGAACGCCCAATGTCAATAAATTGCCCAAAAAGTCCACAATAACTAAATGTCAAAACGTCCAATATAGCTAAAAATTTTCAAAATGTCCAGAAATGCTAAATTTCTCAAAATACCCATTATAGGTAATATTATCAAAAGGGTCAGAAAGGCTAAATTTTTTCAAAATGTCTAAGAATGATAAAATTCTCAAAACGTCCATAATGGCTAAATTACTCAAAATGTCCATCATACTTAAAATTCTCAAAAGACCTGGACGGCTAAAATTTTTAAAAATGTCCAAAAGTGATAAAATTGCAAAGTCCATAACGGTTAAATTCCTCAAAACGGACAGAATGTCCAATTTAGGCATCAAAAATTTTTCCCTCAAAAAACTTCATCCTTTAAATATTTCCTAGGAGCATATAATCGCCCATGAATGTACTTTTCTCGCCTACAACCTTTACTATACAGAACAACAAACCAGCAATAAAAATGTTAAATTAAATAATTTTGAGGAGTCTACAACACAAACAGAAGTTAAAAATAAAAATTATAAAAGAAAAATTTCTGAAGAAAGTGGAGGAAGAATTAGTGGAGGAGGAACAAATGTTTATTCAAAAATAGCTAAAAGGACCTAAAAATTTTGAAAAATAAATTTTGAAAAATATTTTTTCCAAAATTTTGAAGGCAGTCGGATCTAGATTATACGTTCACAAAAGGGGTGCGAAACTCGAAAAGCGAAATTTCGAGTTTCGAATTCGAAAAGCGAAATTTCGAGTTTCGCCTTTCACGCCTTTTCCCTTTTTTATCTTTTCGCTGTTTGCTTTTTAAAATTCTGTTTCGGAGGGGGGGGGGGTGCAAAAAGGTCTAATTACAGCCAAGGGTTTAGAAGTGCGTACAATCAAGCTCCGACTGTGTGATCCACTTCATTTTGATTTTTTTCAAAATTTTCTTTTAAATAAAATCAAAAAAATTATGTGTCTATTTATTGGCGAATAATTGGGGCGATTCCAAGATTAGATGACTTTACTTTAAGCGGAGTTAGTTAGTCTTTGGGGGGTGTTGAATATACTGGAGAGGAAAAAATGCACTATTTATTTTTTTCTTCTCTGCTTGCTTCATATTGACTTTCCGTGGAGAGAAAAGAATGTACGAGGTGTGAAGAATTTAAAAGGCTCCCATACAAAATCTCTATTCCTTAAAATCGCTATTCCTTAAAATCTCTACTAGGGTAAAAATGCTTAAAATCTCTATTCCTTAAAATAACTATTCCTTAAAATCTCTACAGGGGTAAAAATAATTAAAATCTCTACACCGCGCAAATGGACGGTAGAGTCTCAACAAAAGTGTAAAATATGAACTATTCATTGGAAAAGCCAGACTTGGTAATGGATACGGATACAATTGATTTAAAAATGGCTGCGGATATCTGCTTGTATCCGCTGTAAATATCGAAGATATAATACACGACTGCTTCGCTGCGGTCGTGTTCATTTTGCTTGCGGTGATCGTATCGAAGCGGCTGCTGTCGTTCTGCTGGACATGCCTGGGTTCATCCGCAGCGGCAAAAACAATACAAGCAAAATAATATCAAAAGATAAGCCAGAAATCAGAACAACGTTTCCGCACTGAACGTTGCCACTCAAAAGGCTTCCGAATGAAAAAATAGACATTTTATCCTATTTTTGTGCCGTGTAGAGATTTTAAGGCATTTTACCCTTGTAGAGATTATGAGGAATAGAGATTTTAAGGAATAGTTATTTTAATCATTTTTAGCCGAGTAGAGATTTTAATGCATTTTAGCTGTGTAGAGATTATAAGGCATTTTAGCCCAGTAGAGATTTTAAGGAATAGAGATTTTGAGGGGATACGATTTAAAAAGGCAAAGAAAAAAAGCAGACACAAAAAACAAAGAGAAAGTGGGCGGGTGGGTTTCTTGAGTAGAGGGAAGTAAAATAAAGGGAATTTGTGGCATAGCGAGCGGGAATTCGATGTTCGCGGGGATGATTTAAAATTTATGAAAAAGAGAACAAATTTAATAATCATAAGAGAAAAACATAGGGCAAATAAGAGAATAACATAGGGCAAATTAGGAAAAAGCTGGAATTACCCGGGCTGTTCCATATTAGCAGAGCTGTAATTTTTGAATTTAAATTAGGGTAAATATTTGAATTTTTGATTTTTCTGAAACATTATCGGAAACATTTTATAGGTTTTAGTGGTTAATGGAACCGGGGACTTACCATTTCTTTACTTGGGCTGGAACAAATTTCTACTTTTTTGGGAGACTATCCGTCTATCCGTCTTTATGACTTAGGTTGAGCTGTGACCTGGGTTGAACACTATGGAATGAATAAATTTCGAACAACTGTTCCTCTAGGGGTCTCAGGCTGAAAAAGGTGTTCCAAGACAATGCCATTTTTGTTATAAACACCCAGGCTGCCACGGGATAATCATTGCCA